ATTTCATTGTCAACAAAAAACGCACCGGGTTTTGTAGCGGTAAAACAAAAAAAATGTCGAAAATCTCCCGGTCCTGTGGAATATGATGGCGCTGTTACCAGGGACAACGTTCAAAGTCCTGCATACAGTGACATTTCAGATGACTCAACACCAGTTGGAGAACAGGATATCTTAGGTAGTTGACTGCTCTAAATGCTAGATAGCTTGCAAGCGCTTTATTTTATTTATTTTTATATCCTTTCAGATAAGTCACATCCTAAGCATTTAGATTTACCAACCAAAAAGCCATCTGATCTTGGTGCTGTGGGTATCGGAAGTGGATCGCAAGCAATTCCACCATTGGGTGGATATGGAATGTATCAATTTTATCAGCAGCAGCAATATTTGGTGCCCCCTCCTTCTTCCGATCAGCAACCTTCGCAGAATCCTAAGCAAGGATTGCTGCCTTCCACTCTCGTACAGGCACCATTAACGCTTCCCTCTTCGCAGTCCCAACAACAAAGCTCGATGCAATCATCGCTTCTTATGCAGCAGCAGCAGCAGCAGCAACAACAACACCAACAACAGCAACAGCAATCGCCTTTATTGGCAGACTATAACAAAAGCAAAGATCCGCCGTTAGACTTGATTTCAAAGTCATCGCAGCAACAGCAACAAGTTGTTGGACATCAACCACAAATGCAGAGCCAAGATGGTGCTGGCAATCAAAAGGACAACAACACTTCGGGCCAACCCCCACAGGCATCAGCAAATTTGGGCAACGTTGGGCCACCGAATAATGGCTTGCCACCAGGCATGGGAGCTATGCAATCGTTAGGATCATCAGGCGTTGGACCAGGCAGCTTGCCAACACCGTCGCCTGCTAAACCGTTATCCCACTTTTACCCCTTTAAGTAAGAACTAATAAGAAAATACGATTTAATCCAATAATAATTTTTCATTCAACCTTTTAGTTACATGGCCCCAGGTTATCCTTACAATGTAGAACCCAATTACGGGCCTGTGTCAATAGTGGCGTCCGATGACGCCGTAAAATTGGGAAACCATGGAAACTTACCAAGCTCACAACCACAAAACACAGGTCCTCCGCATTCGAGTGCGAGCGTCGTTAAAGATGAGCGTTTAAAGGAAAGTCCCAGTCCCCATGAATGTTCTAAACAAATGCCTCAGCAGCAACAAGTAAGTTGAATTTGTATAACAGCCAAGATCTGTAGGGGTTGCAAAGTCGAAAGCGTCTTTAGGTACTGCTAAACTGCAGTAGGGTTTTATTTCATTTTGGCGTTAATATGTTGTGGTCTGTTAGGCCTCTAACGGTAGTTAATACAGACACACCGACAATAAATAAAGACACATACGATGAACATACGAGTAGTGCTCTAAATTTGAAGATTCGACAACTGGTCAACCTACACTAGCGAAAAAAGTGGGAAGTGGGAAGTGAATTCGTAGAACTTCATCATGGTGCGAGTGAGCTTCGGTTAACCGTAATATCCTGGATAAGGCCAAACCGCGAGTTATCAGAAGCTGCACAAACTGCCAAAAACAGTACGACTACTACTTTCACCAACGGTGAAGTTGGGTAGCTATTGCCAAGACAAACGCTTCCAAATTCATTGGCCTGCCAGAATATTCATGCTGATGCAGAAAGAAATCGGTTATCAGGTCCTCAGCCAGTTGATGACCACTGTCGTCATTCATGATTTGTGGAAATAGGCGGGCAAGCCTGTAAAAAAATGGGAGTGCCATCGGCGAATTATCTGAGTGATTGACAGTCATCAGTCCGCTTTCAAGATCAAACCTCGAAATTAGGAAGAATTGAACAGGGGGTCCAACCGGGTAGTATCCTATCCCCACAATCAATCAACTTCTACACCTCGAAGCTCAATATTGGCGGTCGACAATGGCTTTGATGATGACTTGTGAAATGAAATTATCTGCACGGAACCTTTACCTTAAACAATCGCCACCTTTATCCACCCTTGTCGCGTGAATGCTGCCATCGCAGTTCAACCACCGCCAACCACATACCAATACATACAGTTCATTCTCTAACAAAACTGATATAAACCCAAGTTGTAAACTTATTAAAAGATTACAAAAAATGCAATAAATTTTCACCTCTAAACTATGTACTAAAAAATTCTAACACTTCTGAGAAAAAAGTTTGAAATTTGGCTGAAAATTTGTTGCATTTTTTGTACTATTTTACAAAGCTTTAAGTTTGGGTTTATATGAGTTTTGTTAGAGAATGAACTGAATTTTAATTGAAAATTCTTAAAAATAAATAATTACTGTATCAATGTTTTGCTTAATCTTACCATTTTTCCGCTCGTGTATACTCTACGAAATCATAAAAGAAATTACAGAAATCTAAAAAACTTCTACGCGCAACCGATTGCAAGAAAGACACGTTCTTTTTTAAAGTGGAATCTGTTGCTCAACGGCGCCACACACATGAAAATCTGTTAAAATTTCAACCAATAGCCTTGTCTGTGGCTCATTTTAAACCCAGTCAGCTCACACCGCTGGCACTACTCGCTAGGATTTAGTACAATAAACTTAATTTGATATCTTGAGATTATTAAAACTTACTATGAAAATAAGTTTTAACTGAAATACTGGTACTTTTTTTTAGATGGTTTCGTCAAAACTCATCAAAAGCGAACCAATGGCAAAGCAGGAGATAAAGCAAGAACACAATCCTAATGCTCAATCTCAACAGCAACAACAACAACCGCCCCAGCAACAACAACAACAACAACAACCCCAGCAACCGCACGCATTACATCCGAAAGACTTACAAGGATTGGGAACATATCCAAATATATATCAACGGCATCCAATGTCTTTAGCCGCCCAACAGCACTTATCTCGCGAGGAAGAATTAAGAAGGTGAAAAAATTCAGAATATATGTATTATATGGAAATTACATTGGGTTTTATAACTTCTTGCCTCTTCAGATATTACATTCTTTCAGACGAACAGCGACGACAAAATGCCGTTGCCGCTTTACGAGCAGTTCAAGCGCAGAATCCTTCCAACAACGGGCCACCTGGATCTCTGCAAAATCAAGTGCTGACGCAACATAAGGAAGATACCACCTCTTCAGCACAGCACCAACAACAGATGGCAATGGTGCAACAACAGCAGCAACATCAACAGTCTCAAAAATCGAAATCGCAGTCTTGCTCCACCAGTTCTAATGTGAATGCAGGTAGTGGCAAAGCAACAAATTTGACGAAAGAGGTGTCTAAACAAAAACAAGAAGAAGACGTGAAAATCAAACAGGAGGGACAGAAACCAACAATGGAAACTCAAGGACCACCACCCCCACCCACATCACAATACTTTCTACATCCTTCCTATATTGCGCCAGCACCCTTTAGCTTCGATCCGAATCATCCCATGTACCGCAATGTATTAATGTCAGCAGCTGGGCCGTACAATACTGCGCCCTACCACCTGCCCATACCTAGATATCATGCGCCTGAGGATTTGTCACGAAACACCGGAACAAAAGCGTTGGACGCACTTCACCATGCAGCCAGTCAATATTACACCACACACAAAATACACGAATTAAGTGAGCGTGCATTGAAATCGCCCACAAGCGGTAGCAATAGTGGCCTTGGGGGTGCGGTCAAAGTCAGCGTATCTAGTCCAAACGTGGGCATACAGCAACAGCAGCAGCAGCAGCAGGCCATGAATTCCGGCGGTGTAACTGGCCCGGGCAGTGGCCCAAATGCCGGACAAAATGCGCCCAATAGCGGTAGCCACTTATCTGGCGCAAATCAGTCTTCTGGTGGCAGCGGAATTCCGCTAAATCTACAGCCTCCGCCGACTGGAATGAGTGGTCCTACAAATAAATCTGATGTACTAAACCAAAAGGTGTTGAGTGGTCCGGGAAGTCAGGGCGGCAATTTAACAGGAGGCCCTCTTAGTATCGACTCACATAAGCAACAGAGTGGCACAAGTGGACCGAACAGCGGCGGTAATATCGGCGGTGGTGGCGCTCCTGGGCCAAATGGCGCCACCACAGATTCACGCAGCCCACCGCCGCAGCGGCATGTACACACCCACCACCACACTCACGTCGGCCTGGGTTACCCGATGTACACAGCACCCTATGGTGGTAAGTTTTATTGAAACATCTACAAATAGTAATTAATGGATGTAAATAATTACAATTTAGCTGCAGTATTGGCAAGTCAGCAAGCTGCTGCCGTAGCTGTGATAAACCCTTTCCCTCCTGGACCAACCAAATGAGAAACACAGAATGAGAAGAATTCATACAACATGAAAACATAATGAATTTATGTTCAGAAAATCGCAAACCTATTGCAAGTGAATTCATGGAATTTATCTTATAACAACTATTTACTGTAAGATAAGTCCAACATGAATCAAAATTACCGAAATATTAATCACTGCGAACGCGAGAAGCAAAGAAACCCAACTAACATGGTAGTATAGAATTGTATTTTAAGGATTTAAGGAACCTGCGAATTAACATTATCGGCATGCGTTTGAGATGTATTGTAGTGATTGTCTGATTAATTACTTATAGCCTTCAACTGGAAGGAAGGAATGTGTTTATGCTACAGCTGTTGCAACAACAATGTAATGTATTTATAACAGTACAAGAAGGTCCAGTAGACAACAGGCAAGTAGTGATAATCGGTCGGCAGGGGCAGGGTGGGGCGCAAGGTGTGAATTCGTTAACTAATTTAAAACAGTTTAATGGCATAGGTTGCATTATCAATTGAAATTGAAGAATGCTGCTCTTAAGTAACTAATAGTATCATAAAATCTAATTGCAATTAAAAGAGTTAATATGAAAATCAGAGATCACAAATAACAGTTAACCCCCGAGAAAAATACTCTTTACAGTGCGATGCGCATTCTTTTATTTTACAGTTGACAACTGGCATTTATTTTCGCAATTGCAATTTTATCTCTCGCCTGGTGAGATTTATAAATGCGATACATTTTCAGTGGTCACGTTTTAATTATTTGCAAAGGCAAATAAATTTCGGTTGTGCAATATGGCCGACATTGTGGACTAATATTCGCCCTTTCGATGATTTACTTACTATTTTGTGCAAAAATTCCGACTCATTTTGCTGGTTCTTTATTAAGTGAAAGTAAATGTATTGATTTAAATTAAATGCTTCTGAACTATTCGAGTTTTCTCGAGACCTCATGAGTTTATCGGGCCCGCTCAGGATTTTCGGGAACTTATGGGAATTTTTCAGGCTTTCGGATTTTTTCGTTATTTTTGGAAACCTTTTCCGGATGCTTTATTTTTCATGCTGTTGACTGTGTAAATGCAGTTCCAAAAGAAACCCATTCCCAATACCTTTTTAGTGCCAAGATGATTTCAAGGTTGAAGGAGGAACACGCTACACACAAAATACACAAATTTTCCAAATATTTCAATTTGATGTTCGACAAAACAAACCATTCGCCAACGGTAATAGAAAATCATTGTCCACTCACCAAGTCGTGCGAATGGAAAAAATCCTTTCGACCCGCGAAGAATTTTGTGAATACTTGAACGTGATAAGCGTTATTTGTGAACTCTGATAAAAATACATATTTACTACCTATATAAAAGGATGCAAATTTGCGATAAATCTCTGAAATCAAGAAGTTTGATAATTAGATATAAATATTAACAAAAAACACTAAACATATACCTATATACATATATAAAAAAAAATCTAGAACAATGTAATTTAATTATTTCACAGTTATCGATATAACTTTTAAAATAAGCCAACGCATATGGGCATTCCTTTAGATATCAAATTAATCCTGCTCAACCGGAAGATGGATTTAAACGAAAACAGAAACGAAATACGCGCATTTGTTGAGCAGATCCCCAAGGCGGCTAAAGTCAATTTAAATTATAACCTCGTACTCAATTTATCAAAGAAAAGTTTTACACTGCTTGCGTTTACACCATCTTCACCTCTCGCAAATAAAAAAAAAAAAAAATCGGAACCTAAGTGTTTGTTTTTTAAATTCCGCCCATCGAATCCTCGAATACAAAAAACTGCAAAACTTGTTTACGCCATCTTAACTTTTTTGTCCCGATTGATTGATTTGCGATGTATTTCATGTTGCATTTGGTTTGAATTTATTCTTATTGCTTTTTTGCCACTACACAAAAAGAAGCTATATTTGAATTTGTATTATCTACTTACGTATGTAGTCAAGTGTGTAGCTAAGGGTTTGCAAATCATATTTTCGCTTAGCGATGGAAACATCCTCAATTATGCGATCACTGAATACAAAAACACCCAAATATTTGACTAAAAGTACTCATAGCTGTATATTAATACAGATATAGGATATACTATACATATTATAGAAAACCTTTACTCGTTTTAGAGCTTATACATAAATTGATATGCGATAGTTTAGATTTACCTGTGTATGTATACATATGTATATATGTGTATGTGTAGCTGCTCTATATTTTGTATTTTATATTTTTTATTTTTTGCATAAATGTTATTTTTCAAAAACCCTGTGTATTATAAATACTAACTAAGAGATGCTACACAACGGGGCAAGAGCATAGGGCCTATTTAAAATGATAAAACTTATTGAGAGTACATAACAGTAACATAAATCAATGTTTTCCATAAAACAAAGGTTTACATTGTTTTTGGTGCCTAACACCGGTCTTTCTCACCTGCTTTCATTTACCAAATGAAGTGTCAGTGATTTTAAATACACTAACATTTTTGAATTCTTTTTTTTTTTTTTTTTGTAATTAGTCTCCACAACACTCTCATACCAATGCTTATAAATGTATAATATATTACTATAAGGACACATTCTACAATTTAGAAATCTAACTCGATTTGTGTAGTGAATAAATGTTAAGATAAAAATATATATTCTACGGAAATTATCCGCATATTGTATGAACATACACATATGTCTAACTAAACATTAAGTTATTGTGAAAGAGTTCAAGCACATTTATGGACCTAAATTTTAAGCATAAACAATACCCTAAGATTCGTTATACATGTTAATCAAAGCGACGGACAGAAGAAAAGGGCTTCAAACGCTAAAGTAATATAGGAGTATAGTTTTCAACAAAAAAAAAAGAACAAAAACAAAAAAATTAATAAACGTATTTATTTAAGCAAAAAATATAATTACATAAAAAGAACCCACAATTCTGCGACAGTTCATTGATAAGTAAATCAATAATGGTAGAACATAAGTAACACTACATATACATTAATGCAAAACAAAAACAAAATATATATATATAAAAGAAATAAATTTTTTATTATAGTCAAAAATCTACAGTTTTTCCTCTTTTTTTACGTTTTAAGTACAATTACGACCAACAGCAATACTAGAAGAATGCAAATCTGTCTATTAGGGCAGTACCGATTCCCAAAAAAAGACTGTGTTTTAATTTGTGGGCGCCCAAAATGATTGTTTAACAAATTTGCATGTGGTATAAGGGAAGGCTTAAAACTATTTCTCTGATTTGCCCATATATTAGATACATCTTATACTTAGATATGTATGAAACGTCTTATACAGTGTCGGACAAAATATTTGCAACTGGAACACAGCCTTAGAACTTCTTTCTTTTACATAAGAGAGAGAACTTATGTATGTATTTTAGTAACTTGTGTTAAATCTCTCTTCGGCTATACTATCTAGCACTAAAAATACATATTTAACCTTAATTGGGCTCCCCTAGCATTTAGTTCTTTTTGCGTCGTTTTTGCCCAAAATTTTTGGGTGAAACACAACTTTTCGCAGTAATTGTACTTCTAATGCAGTTTAATTTAAAACGAAACAAAAAGAAACAAACTTGAAAAATATCGCCAAAATTTATATGTACAATATACATATGTATGTATTAGACTAATTCAAAAAAATCGACTCTTCAATGCCTCAAAAGATGCCTATTAAAAGCGCAACCCTCGATATAAAGTTTAAAAGGTCCCGCATCGCGGATATCTATCTATTTTCCATATAAAGTACTTATAAAAAGTTGTTTTTAACTTTGGAATATGTTTTCTCGGCCATGAATTATCAAACTAAAAAATGTGATAAATATTTTTGTAGAAAATTAGACGCTCTACGAAAAAAATGTCTCTTTTTCATATCCATGAATTTTATTTTTTTTGGTATTTTTTATAATTTGTGTCATTTAAAAAAAACAACAAACTTAACAAAAAAATATAAAAACGTTGAAGAAAATTGAAGCAAGAATGATAGATATATATAGCGAGAATGTCAGTTTGGCAGAATAAAACATAACCAAAGATCATAGAAAACAAGGATGCTGGCTATGTTTACGGCTACCTTATATTCTATTTTCTTTGAGATAAAGAGATTGCTGCCACGTTTGTCCCAAAAATAGTTTTTGGGCCAGAGTAAAAAGAGACTCCAATTAATCGGGATTTAATCGCTACAAGTGTGAGAAATCGGGAGATCAATTCATACGTACATTTAATTTAAAATGGCCCCTATTATGAGTTGAATTCGATCCTCGATTTTCTTTCACAAGTAAAACCAGCCTTTCGAGCTTGTGGTTAGTATTCACGACGTTAGAACGGCATGAAATTAATAAATAAATTTGCAAATTAGTGTGTAGCTGCCAAAAAGTAAGAAAACAAATGCAAAATCATAAATTTTTCACAATTTTCTAACACTTCGCTACACCAACGAAAGCAAAATTCTGTTCGACAGACAATTCGATACTCAACGAACATTTCGACTCGCTTACATCGCTCATAATACAAATTTCACTTTCGATCTTCGATAGCCAGCGGGTAGTTGGGGTAGTTTTCTTATACACATGGTAGAAGTTATAGTTACTATTTCGGAGGTAACAACTTCTCCTCATCAGACTTCATCATCGAGTTCACTGGGACTTGAACTCACAACCCCGGCGTTCGAAGCCAGTGGTATTACCCACTGAGTTAAGTTCGCCATGTAAACTGTTGTGGTTGCTTTTTCCACTTTTTCATTTTTACAACCCAACTACAATCAGAGGCAAAGACTTTGTTGCTATTTAGACTTGATCATGTGGATGTTGTTGAATAAAAATCAAAATAAAGATTTTATCAACGGAATAAAAAAATCCGATTTTTGGAGGCATTTTAAAATCGGTCTAGCTCAAGTAATAAATCTTATTTTTACTGAAATATTTTGGGGAAGTCTTATATCTTTTTATAATTCCGGTGGAAAACCCGCAGCTTTTATTGGTGATGCACCCTAATGTACATATGAACATATCGTCACGTGAAATGAGAAAAACGTAACAACATCGTAAATGAAATGGGAAAAGTGGTGACAAATATTTAAATTTTTTTTTTTCATAAAGTTATGCGGGGATAAATCAAAAAGTGAACTTTGAATTTTTTATTAGTTATGACTTTTTGCGTATCAACGATGATGTTTGTTGCATCTTTTTGCATTACAGGTGACGATATGTACATAGATATCTTTTCCTCCATTTAAGCCCCGTGTGTATTGAGACTGAACTGTCATCAAGGGCTGCAAGTTTACTTTTTAAATTCAATTAATTGTTCTGACAAACGATATACAAGGTCAACATTAACATCATCGATGACAGTTAGGTCTAAGGTCGATTTTTATAAAGAGATAGGTCATATTGAATATAAGCCCTCGATATGTTGTTCAATTACTTTTGCGATTTATTTTTTTTTTTGAGTAAAATTGTGTCCGCATAATTTTTTTCTATATTCTCCACACTTCTAATCGCATTCGAAACTAGGTATATCAGTTTAAGTTATAAGGTGCAATTCTTGCCCCAAGGTTCAAAAACTGAGATGCTAACAATTTTGGCAGGGCTTTACAAAATTTTAAAAGTATTACAGAGGAAGATGTGTGAACAAGCTCAGAAGATGAAGAAGTACCTAGGGATGACTACGATTTCTGGGAACACCACAAACAGCTTGCCATCGGTCAATGAAGAAAAAGTCTGCGAAATGTGGCGAAGTGTCCTTTTATTTATCCAGCCCGGTATTCTGCCTGAAATCTATTAGAATGGGAGGAGCTGAAAACTGTACTGTGGTTCACTGTGTATTATTTTGGCCATACATCGTGATACGGTCTAATGTACATTTTGTACATTTACATACATACATACATGTATGTAGGTAAATTCATATACATAGGTATGTAAATTTGCGCATTTGAAAGCTCTTCTACTCTGTGATCAATATGAAATTGTTGGCCACGAAATTCGACGACGAGTAGAAAAAAGTAGCGCATCTGCAGTACCTGTTTAGCAAGAACAGAGATTTCCATATGATATGGACCTAACTGGATTCTATTTGGTTAAATTCCTAAAGCTCAACTGTTTTCAACTTTCTAAATTTAAAATAAGTTTCTCTTTACTTTTGCCACCCTGAGCTTCGGCTATAATCCCAAGAGAGAGTGGCATGCGCGTCATCTTTTATATGTATGCAATATTGTATGTGCATACACACACACACACACATCCATACAAACGAACATTTTATATCGGCTTGTACATATGTATGTATGTATGTGCATTCATGAGTATGATCACTCACAGCAGCAGGGAACTTATTGGTAAAAGCGCTATCGTCCAACATTGGGCCAACTCCACACAACAGTGCTAAGCAAGCGAGAAGTGTTGTTGGGAATTTCCAATTTTTCTCTTTCCGGTTTTCGGTTATTGCAGCGGCTGCTGCTATTCGTGCCAATTGATTTTTTATAATGTCCACCATACACACTTTATTTACCCTATTACGTACATATCAATATATACGTACGTAGTATAAATGTATGTATGTACCTACATCCATGCAAGCGAATCGTAGCAACGCACATACACACGTACCTACATACCAGTGTACTGCAGCAAGCTATAGCTTACATTTCCAGCTGCTTGAAAGCTTAGATGTATTCATTGGGCTTGGTTCGCAACAAGCAAGTAAATGCTTGGCTTGCTAGTTGGATTTCAACTCATACGCGCACTTGATTTACTTCAAACATATCTATTAGCGAAACAAAAACACACTAAGTAACTAACACATAACAATACCCTTTGGCTATGTATTTACAAGAGCTGCTGCTGTATTCAAACCTGTTCGATTCAAGCTACTGCCGTATTAATTGGCGTTCAAGCTATGAGTTGAATTGGCTTGGTTGAAACAAGTGTGCATCATACTTGCGCTTGTATTTTTTTCCAGTAGCTTGAAAATGTAAATGAATCGGCTTGTGCAGTACACTGTTACGTACATATCTACATAGCAATTTCCAAACTGCTCCATTCATATTAGGTTGCGTTCCGAAATGCATCAGAAATGAATCAAATCAGTCTCTTTTATTTCTGAACTATAATTGATAAAAATGTCAACCGTGATTATACGCCCAATTGGAACTTAGCTGCGTAAATAAGACATTTCTATCAATTTAGAAATAATAAGATACTTACTTATGCTTTCGCTTGATGCATTTTGGAACGCACCCTTACTCTACTACATTGGTATTCATAAGAAGTGTTCAATTTTTAATCCGAAAGAGGAATTCAGTTTAAATTTATAAATACATACATATGGATAGTATATGTACTTATACATATGTATGTATGTAGATATCCTGCAGCAATAAGGCGGCCAATTTTCCGCCTGATTCAAAGTGATCATTTGAACACACATTTACATGCGTGCCTGTAGCTCAGTGCGCAGAGACGCTTGCCACTATTTGTTAGCTTTCAGGATGGTCCGGGTTCAAATGCCGTCAGAAGCAACATGGTTATAATAAGAAAAAAAAATTTTATTTTTGTGTATTCGAATTATGAAAAAGCATCTGCGAAGTGCCGAACGCAATCTTACTCCAACGAAACAAATCTCCGAAACTGAACTAGTCGAGGACTATCTTACGTTCAGTGTTGATTGGACCGGTCCTTTTCCAATGGCACGCCCAATGCTAAAAATGGCAGTTGAAACCATTGGCAGGGGAATTATGAGGGACTAGTGCTGGTAACAATACGGACTATCTGAGGGCTAACCTAGGGCGAGTCTGAATTGCTGCAGGGTATATCCTAAATCAATACTTACATATGTACATATGTACATATGCAAATGTTGTATATGGAGGATTAAAAAGTTCTACCAAAATATTAAGCGGGAAATTTTACTACGGGTCAACGCAGATGCAGTGCTTTATTCGATTTCAATTGAGAATTAATATACATATGTATGTGCAACATATGTACATATACATTGATTTCAAAAATACATATCGTCCCCCTTATGCAAATTTACTAATTTTGAGTTAT